CTAGATTCATCCTTAAGGGGACATGGAAGGGCATTACAAGTTTCATGGAAATCCATCCTATAGTTGTTCACATATTGCAGTCTGGGCTAACCCCAGCCGGTTGTCTGTCCATCCAGTGTTCATGAACACAAAATCATTTGAGGAATTTCTTCAAATTTGGCGCAAACGTCCGCTTGGACTGATTGGATTTTGTGATTCAAAGGTGAAATGTCACCTTGACCTTACAAAACACTTTTTTAGCCATAAGTCAAGAATTCAAATGCTAATTATGGCACAAATGTCTCCTGGAACAACATGATAAAGTGACGACATTTTACATCTAAGAGGTCAAAGCTGAAGTCTGGACAGTTACTGCTAGTTGGTGGAAACACAAAGAAAACACAATGAGTTCAACACAGTAACCAGGAATATGATGTGTAAGGACCAATTCGTGCTTTTCACATTCAACTGCAAACACCGCTGCAAGCTTTGAAAGCAGACATTGGACGAGCACATGGTTCTGTTTATGCTACTAATAGGTATCCGTGCATCAGCCTGCTAAGCGGTCGCATTGTCCCTTATGTAAAGCAGCTGGTTACAGATTGGGCTGGAGCCCCACGTCAATGCAAATATATTCCTGAGGTGTTGCCGAGTGGGCAGATATACCACAGGATATCTGGAGAACTTCCTGCTCTCAAATCATCTCATTTTTAGAACAATTTCTACTCAGCCATCTGTGGTTTTCCGGGTTCTGGCCCAGGATGACCAGGATGTTTCTTCAACTACGTTTAGTTAGAGGTGTTTAAGCATAACGTTTGAAGGGCTTGTTGAAGTTAAAAGTAAATCTCAGCCTTCACTGACCTCATGACTTGTGTCCAAATTGTAGCTACAAGCAGAAAGTAGGAATGAAATGTGCTCGTATACGTATCTACATTATATTAACTGATGTTTGAATGTTGCAGTGAAGACCGACGAGCCTCCAGTTCAACAATCGCTCTTGACGAATCTCCGCCGTCCCTCAACCGGAGCCTATCAGAGACTGAGCTGGACGTCTACTTGGTATGACACGCTTTATCTATTACAGTTTGCATGCCAAACATCGGATATGCTTTTTATAATGTGTATATTTCTTATTGATAACAAATCCCATGAAAACACCAATTTTCTGCCAACCCTCTCAAGACATCACCCAACATATTCCTACAACCAGAGCCCTGCTGACTGGTTGCTGTTAGTTTATAGATTGTTGTCATAAATACCAGACTTGCAGATGTTAGGTTAGATTTTGCTGGGGTGCTGGTAAATCAGAACTAAGACCTTGGAGCAATCAAACCAGATATTCATCACAAACATCCCTGCTATTTGGTTCTACTGACATCACAGATTTTAATTCAATGTGTACATGTTTGAGTTCCATTACAGGTTTTCTGATGTCGGTTTTCAAACATGAATTTAGGTTTATACTTGTCTGGTTAGCTATTGGAGTCACAGAAATTCAAATTTGGTGAAAGTGAAGCATTTTACTTAAACATTCTGCTCATTACACCATCATGTCTAAAATAAAAGGCCACACATTGTCATTAAGTGTAGTCCTGATGGAATACACCAACGTTTTGGAATTTGCACTCCCCCTGGTGTAGTAAATATGAAGCTACAACCAGCAGCTGATTAGCCTAGCATGCTAGCTTAAAGACTAGAGGCAGCTAGAACTGGCTAACCAGGATCTGTCCAAAGCTAAAATTAACAATAACCAAAGAAGTTCTCTATTTTTATTTTCTTTGATTAACTATGACGCTTAAAGCACCCACCAAGACGTTTAACCAAGCATTTAGCCACAAAGGTCTTATTTTTTACCACTTTTAGAAGTAGCTACAACCTAGAGCTGATTAGCCTAGCATGCTAACATAAACACTGGAGGCAGCTTGAAACAGCTAACCTGGCCAAAGCTAAAAACATATATATTTTTTGTTTGTTTGTTTGTTTTAAACTGAGAAACTCACTACTTTTTAACATTTAACGTTCTTTGTTTAACATGAACAAAAACTGTCAGAGCACCCACCAAACTTTCTGACAGTCATATTAGCAATTTTCTGGACTTCCTGTCTTTATGCTAAGCTAAGCTAACAAAAATATTTCTTAAAACTGTTCCTTAAACATTGTTCAGCACTCAAAACGTCACCTAAACATATCTCTTAATATACCTTGATATCTTAAATTAAATGGATTTTATTTTGTAACATGGCCACACATTAGCTGATTAGCCTAGCATGCTAGCATAAACAGCTAGGACTGACTAACCCGGCTCTTTCCAAAGTTAAAAAGACAGATCCAAATGAACTGAAAAATGTTTTTAACTTTGTTTAACCTGCACAAAAACTGGGATGTTTAAAGTCTTTATATTCATTGCACCAAGAGGAAATTTAGTTCAGCTTAGTTTGAGAATTAACCAGGTGTATGACACAGTTATCTGAGGCAGGATTTTAAAGGTCATAATGTTAAAACAGGTACCAGACTGCTCAGCATCAACTGATTGAATTTGCATTTCCTTGTCCGATGTTGGGGGCAAAATATTGGGGAAGATTAGGCTTAAATATTTCAGTGTTCTTTGAAAAAAGTTTGTTTATTCTTAACAAATTAACACTTCTTTCTAAACTATTATGAAATGTAAGTAATTTACAACTGTATTCTCGAAATATTTGAAAAGTTTTCTCATTAAAACCATAAAAGCGCCCAACATAAATATACTTTGCTGTATTTTGGGGAAACTGTGCTCGATGAACTCGGGGGTCACTGGGTGTCTCTGCATTTTCAGCATCACACAGTGTCACCCAGGCGACCCAGCTGGAGTTGATCAGTCCAAGCGTCCGTAAACTGTAAGCAGCCAAAAAACACCCATAAACCTTTTCTACTGATCTGCATTGATCTTCCTCTTTTTGTGGAGAAAAGACACGGAGGTTCCTACGATGCCTCAGCAGAAGACACTGTAAGACCACAGCAGAAGCATGTGCACTGAGTGGATCATAACAAACTGCCCTTTATCCATGAAGCCTTACTGCTCATTGCACGCTTGCATCTTCCTGCTTGTTTTATCTCTTGCAACTTTCTTCTTCGGTGGTGCTAACCCCGAGGTCCCAACAGGCCCCGGTGGCGTCCCGTGACGTCCACGGCGAGTGACTCAGCTCGGTCCTTTTCCCCTCACAGTCCTCACGTCTGCGTCAGCCTGAGAAACCTCCACGAATTCCCATTTCTGCAGCGCTCCTCTTACATAACCACCAAATCCTCATTCAAGGCTTATATGAAGCCGTTCTTCAGCCCACATTAAGCAGTCCCGCTCAGGCTCTGTGGGAAGCCTGCAGACGTCCGAGTTAATCTCATCGAAAAGCCTCTGACGGAGCACGGTGGGATTCAAAAACTATAGGTGAAAAGAAAAATCTAGGCCTCGAACTTATCCGTCTCCTCAAGTGAAATTAACGTCTTGGCTCAGGGAGACAATCAGCTCACATTTATAAAGCTATTTTTTAATTATCAGTGTGTTTTTTTACCCAACTTATCACAAGAAAGCATCCACTTTACATCCCCGCTGCCCAGTTTCTGAATCAATCTTGAGTTCAAAGCTGATTGAAACGTCTTTGTCGTCTCATTTCATTCATGTATGAAAATCAACGAATAATGCATGCGACCTGCCGGAGGAGTGCACTCTCTGTCGTGTGGTAATGCAGGGAAGAATTTGCAAGTTCAATCCGCGCGCTCGACGTGACGGAAATAAACGCGATGTTCGCTTTGATGGACGACCGCATCATCTGTGGAAAAACATTCGCCGCCTCAAGGGTCGGAATAAAATACATCAGAAAATATGAAGCGCTGCAGGACGTCTTGGAAACTGGTCAGCGTTAATGTGGAACAAACAAACCCAGACTTCTATGTGAAGGGGAAAGAAACACGACTACACGGCATAAACAGTAGCACGACAGCGCCACCTAGGATTAAGAGTTTGCACGAAAAGTAATCCACTACATAATATAAGCACATGGAAGTAGGAAAATGACTTCTTTGCAGGATATATATTCTAATATACTGCACTGTATATGTGTGCAAAATGTGGACACCAGGGGGAGACAGTTCACCAAAATAAACATTTATTGTTTTTATAATCTAATTATCTTTATTGTTATTATATACAGTATTTACTGTAGTTTGGAATTCGAAAAGAGAAATGAATCCTAAAAATAATGGATCACAAAAATGTACCTAATTAGTTCTTTAACGTTGTGCTTTGATATCTAAAGGGGATTATCCTCTTTTTTTTGTTTTCCAGTGAGGAGAAATGAGCGATGGATCCGTTCCAGCGACTTCCACAGCAAAGAGAAATCAGGACTTTGCAGCGGCGTAAACTCGACGCCGTTATCAGTTTCTTCACTCTGTGCCTCTTTGACTTTTATTGTTAAGTCAAACTCAACGTGCCAAATCACTGGAAACCCCATTATTACTATTATTATTATTGTCAACTAATTAGTGATAGTTGGTCTTTATGTGTGTTAAAATCACCGAACCGCTGTATCGATGTACAGTAAAACACTATGAAGCTGCTTCTTTTTCTCCGTTATCGTGCACTTTGCTGCTATTTCTCTTCTACTCTTTGCTCATGCTTTCTGATTTCCATGAATTTCTCAGCGGCTGGATCCCTGAGGAGGAAAAACTGTCTTGCCAGGTTTTGTTTGCTGTCATTTTTCGAAAATTCATATTGTTTAAATTATATTTAGATATAAAAAATGTAGGTTTGGCTGCTGTGCATATCATCATGATTCTGTGCCGTAACCCTACATACCTTTTGCATAACATATCCAAACATCCTGCTTCAGTAAAAGGCAACTAGAGTTTTTGGGGAAGTTTTGAAGACATTTAACCTTCATCCATGAGGATTCCTCCGTTAAACCAACGACAAAATCCGCAAAAAACATCCCAACATCAAATTTGTCTCACAAATTAGGAAGGAGGTAAAAATCTGATGCACTCTTTAGCAACAGAAGCTGAACAATGTTGTATTTTCAATGTAATGAGGCATGTGTGGACCTAAATGTAGAGATTAAACAATTACTCTACAAATCTGTTCAATCTCTATATATAAAGGACAAGAAACAAACAAACTCATTTAGGACAACAATGACAACATTCTGGACAGAGAAGACAACTGATGTGAGATAGGAGTGAAAGAGTTTATTTATATTAAACTGGAAAGCCATCTCCTGAACTGAGGAGGGGTTTACGACACTTATCAGGTACTTATAATGCAGTTTTGAGGTCCCCAGTCAAACAGTTTAACCATTATTACAACCTTGAGGTATTCGTTGCGTGATGTAGGGGTGAGAAGCTATAGTTCGACTTGGATGAGAGCTAAAACATCTTCAAGAACCAAAAACAAAATCTAGTTGAACTGTACTTGAAGCACTGGATGGCTGAGATTCTACACAGAAATGCATTTAAAAATCACAATTTGCAAAGAAAAAAAATAAATCATCGCTACTATCAGGTCAAAGTTTTAGTTTTCTAACAAAAACGACCTGCAAAACTACATTCCAAGTCGCCTCATCTGCACACGGCGCTAATTAGCAAGTGTTAGCTGCTAATGGTGCTAAACTAAGATTGATGCGATAATATTTCAATAATTTCCCAGGTCTGGGATAAATAAAGTATACTCTATTCTATTCTATTCTATTCTATTCTATTCTATTCTATAAACCTGCCAAACATCTGCAGGCTAGCATGCTAAAGTTAGCATTTAGCTCGAAGCACTGCACAGTTACAGAGCTGCTAGCGCGGCTCGCAGTGATTCAACATTTTTCATCATTACTGCAAACTAATTTGTACATTTTTTTCTTGTGATGACACATGACTTTAGGTTGGACAAAATCTGTGAATTTCATGAACACAAATATAAATTGTTGTTATAACATGACATTATTAGAAACTATAATAAATAACAAGAAAAAGAGAGGACAGTCTTGGCTATGTTGGCTCGTTCACATGGTTTGACTGAGTTTATTTTGCACTTGGGATGTGACGGCCGGATATAAAGAGTCATTAGATGCAGATTTGACCTTTATTTGGATTGAGTTAAATGAATGACTGTTACAAACCGTCCTGTATCCTGGAGATGAAAAAAAAAATGACCATACTGTGTGTTTTTCTGTCCAATTTTTGTCCATGTGCCTTAAAAATCTGTGCTTTTATGTGATTCATAGGCCTACAATTGTATTATAGCAATACTTGTATCTGGGAAATAAATTAATATTTAATGTACTTACATTGATCCTTGTATTCATTTTTTGGTGATTTGTGTGCTTTGGCAAAGCTCTAAAGAAGTCGAACAATAATGCTTAATGCAGTTTTATTATAAAAAGAATTAATAAATTCTGTAGGAGGACAAAGAAGCTCTTCAGAAATAGTTTGAAATTTAAATTATTATCCTTTACTTCTGCTTAATAACCCGATTTAACAAGTAATCAAGTAGAACATTAGTGGTGCAAAGTGGCAACAGATCTTTCAGCAGGTGCTTATTTACCCTTCAGCTCTGAGTCAAGTTTCATTCAAACAATGACTAATTACAGAGTGTTTACAGCTCTTTTTTTAGGCTTCTCTGTTTACTGAGAGGCTGGTATGTTGTTTTTTTTGTTGTCAGATTCGCCAGAGGGTCTCAACAGGAACCGGTTAAACCAGTCACACCAGCTGCTTTTATATCACATGAACGCACTGAATGCTGCACAAAGCGTAACAATGAAGTGGGTGCACCGGTGGCACCGTCGGTTAGCGTACAGCACCGCCACCGTCAGACAGTAACTGCACTGATATTCAACTTTAATCATGTTTGACATCAGACGTTGCCATGACAACAGTTGCCAATTTTGAAAAGTGGCTATTAAGGCGCCATTGTGGTGAATTTGCTCTATTTTTATCACTTAAAACCCCATTTTATACTGAAAAAAATCACCTCAAAGACCGTGGTTTGTAGACTTTTCACATGTAAAGAAGAAATCCACATGATATTTTCCTCCAGGTTCCTAATGTGCTCCTCTTTTCTCCAGCTGCCCTTCCCAAAGGCTGAAAAACACCCACAAAACATGACATTCCCACGATGCTTGACCCTGAAGATGGAGCTCTTAGTGTTGCTTTATGTCGGGGTGAACTTTTTGCAACAGCAGTTCTATGCCTCTCTTGTAGAAGTGAAGCTCTCTCTGGCCATTGTTGCTGCTCCTTCAAGTTAAAAGGCGCCAGCTGAGGTGGTTCTGATTAGGATTTCCTCTGGAGGTTTTCCAGCCACGTCCAACTGGGAGGGCAGAAGCTGAACTTGCAGGACGAATTACATAACTGGGAACACGAGGAGGAACTGGAAAGTGACCTGCTTAGCCTGCTGCTAGCATGGCCTGACCCCGGATAAGCAGAAGAAAATAAAGGAAGGGATGGATGCAACTGACCCGAGAACTGATGCATCATCTTATTAGAACGTGGCAGAAATGATGAGCGCCGTTTGGATCAGTACAGAAGCTGCATTTTCTCAAACACTTCTTACAGTTTCATGAATAATTGTGAGCGTCATATTTTCATTTGTCTTCATTTCTATTTTATTGACTATTTTGAAAAGAAGGCTGCAAGGTGGCTCGGTGGCTAGCATCGTTGCCTCGCAGCAAGAAGGTCGCCGGTTCGGATACCCGGCATCTCCATGTTCTCCCCGTGCAGCGTGGGTTCTCTCCGGGTTCTCCAGCTTCCTCCCACACAGTCCAAAAACATGTTGAGGTTAATTGGTGATTCTAAATTGTCCGTAGGTGTGAATGTGAGTGTGCTTGGTTGTCTGTCTCTAAGTGTAGCCCTGTGATAGACTGGTTACCTGTCCAGGTGTCCCCTGCCGTGTATAGATGATGGATGGATGGATTTTGAAAACAGAGGGCAATATCAAAAGTAGTCACACCGCAATTAACGAGCAGCTAATTTGCCTTTGCTGCTGTAACAGTGGGATTAGTAAAGGCTTATCACATCATTGTTCCTGAGCAGGACCACAAAAAATATCACAAAACAATACACGACATAAAACAATACAAAACTTAAGTGTCAGGTAGTAAATGAAATCTATATTTTTTGAGTAGAAATGTCTTAAAGATGTAGAAATGGTTCATAATGATCACAAACAGCTCCAACACAGTGTCTTTTTTTTTTTTTTTTTAAATCTTAAATCAGTTAGAATAAACCTAAAAAGTCACTATAAATCTAAATTTGACATGAATGTGGATCATTTTGGGCATTACATTTTTTCTTTATTTGTGTTTATTTTTGCAGGTATATTGCACAGTTATAAGTAATCGCACCAGAGTCAGGGAGCAGCATCTGTCATCTCTAAGCAGGAACACAAAAACAACCACAAAACAACACATATACAACATAAAACAATAAAAAACAAAAAAGTCCATCAGTGTGAGATGATAAACAGAATTAATGTTTTAGTAATTATGCTTTAAAGACATAGAAATGGTTGGAAACTATCATTAACAGCTCCAACACAGTGTTTGTCTGGGTTTTATCAGTCAGAATAAACTTGAAAAGTCTCTATAAATCAGATTTTGACATGACCGTGGATCATTTCGGACTTCCTGTGGGCTGGATTCACTGGACTCACACGTCCTGTTCACCTTTTTCAGTCCCTGCCTGTTATCTGTCCACAGTAACCTGAGTCACAGCGGCCCTTTGTGGCGCTGACTCAGGCCGCACCGCGCCCAGCAGCCCTCCGCTGTCACACCTGCGGCCTCCAAGCCCCGCCCACATACCTGCGAGAACCAGGAAATCACACGATAGTAGGCGCAGGAACAACTCGTCCCGTCAAACTCCACTTCTTCCTTCTGTTTTTCTTCCCCACTTGTGTTTTTTTGGGGGATAAATCTTCCTCTGCGGCCTCCTGACAGCCGGACACCGTTCACCAGGTGAGTCTCCGCCGCGGTTCTACCTGAGCTCCGACCTGCGTTTCTGCGGGTGTCGTCGCCGCTGTCGGGCTTTGTGCCGCCGCCTGCTCAGGCTCCGGTTTCCGTTGGACGGTTTTAATAATAAAGGAGACTTTTCTGTGGCACTTTGAGGCGGCACACTGTTATTTTATTGATGTTATCTCCTACTTGTGCTCCGTCCTGAGCAGGGACCGTGACCCACATCGGGCTGCAGGCCTCAGTGCTTTGGACTGACTCTGGTCCAGGACGGTGCTGAGGCGTTTTCACCAACATGTCAGGCTGCAGAAATCACTTTTAGACATGTAAAATAGCTCATAACGTATTTCCAGTGACCAAAACCACCATTAAATATGTATAATGTTTTATTATAGGTGTTTTAATTGTATTTAAATTATTTAACTTGTGTAAGAAAATCCAAAGAAGTGGGTTTGGGGTGTGTTGATGTGATAATCTGACTGTAGTAAATAATCCTCTGTGGTTTTCCCATCATAACATACGTATATAAACTTTATTTTATAGTTAATGTGAGAATCACATGAAGCTTTATCCATGAATTTGAGCAAAAATTAACAAAACGACCCAAACAGACATCAGTGATTTAACTCCAGTCTTGTTAATTTTACATAAATTATAAACATTATCATCTAATATAGTGGCTTAATAGATAACCAGAAGTGTAACAACAAAACCTCAACATTTTATCCTTCTTAAATATACAGGATTAATTTATTCAACAGTGTTAGTTTTTGCTAAATGTACCAAATAAACAAACAACTGCTGTCTTTTACTTAAAGATGTGCCTTTTCATGGATGCTGGCTGTTAACATCCTTATTCATAATGTGTAATTGCAGCATTAAACTTTGTTTCTGATGAATAAAAATAAAGATATACGTATTTATCGCTGCATATACATTAGGTTTGTTTGCCTTGAACCACTCCTTAACTGGAAAGCGGATCAGACCGCTGCAGGCAGTTAAAAGATGGCGGTAAAATCTTTCAATTTATAGCTGCTTTCAGTGTGTATAGGAAGTTATAGATGCAGTTACATCCTGTTAGAGCTGATTAATATTTAATAAAAGGTTATCAGACCCATATATCGACTTGTACGCAGTCTCAGATAGGTTTCTGACAAATTAACTCATTTAAATGCTCTATTTTCTTTATTTTTGTACATAAATCAGCTCTCAAACTACATAAAAAAATTGAGAATATTAATTATAAACCCAAAATAGTGGAAAGAAACACAAGATAATAAGTGTAATTGCTGATTAAGGAGATATTTACACTGTCACTGTCAGTTTTTGTGCAGTTAAATACTTAATAAATCAGAATAAATCAAAAGTTAGTATCTAGTAGATGACAACTACGTGTTGTTTACAGTTTATAATGTGTGATCTGAATGCATTAAGCTTCTCTGACTGTTAAACGACACCATGAACAGAATAAACCTTCAAAATCAGACAAATAACACGAGACGCTTCAATCAAATGCCGTATTATTGAGCCAACATCAGCTGTCAGGTCAGGCGAGAGTCACGCATTTCCCATCATGCACCGGGGACGGCACAGCAGCTGTGGCGCCTGGCTCCAAAAAACTGCAGCCGACTTGATCTCATGAGATTATCGTTGCCTACATTTGCATGATGTCGGAGCGAGTCGAGGACAGAAGTCTGACATGCTTTGTGGTGCCGATCGATTCTGCGCAGAGTCGGCTCGTATCGAAGGAACCCGTTGGCTTGTTTTAATGGCAAAAGGCGGGAATTCTGCATTTACAATAGCAGGATGCCGGAACGAGCTGAGCTTTTTCCTTTCCTGTAATGAAATGCTGCAAGGACATGTCAATAATATGTGAAATTTAGGACATTTTGTGGTGTTTTTTGAGCTGAAACTTCTCTGCTCAGGAGTTAGAGACGCACCAAGCTCAGCTCAGCTCAATCCTCTAAGAGCATTTTTCACTGGAGCATCTTTTAAATAGTCTCCAGATAATTTATTTTTGTTTGTTTCCGTAGAGCTTTAACGGTTTTGCAGTTTGCCCCTTCAGGTCACCGCATATTTGATCCAGATTATACCTGCGGAGGGCATCTGCACGCTGATTGAATCTCTTCGCCTTTTCTCTCTAAAAAAAAAAACTCTGATGGCAGATTTGTGAGTGGCATGTGTCCCTCCATCTGGCTCGCACATGCATTGCATATGGACGTTGCATAATGGCCCCGGGTCTCCGTAATGCAGCACTGCAGCACCACTCCGACACGTGGGGAAGTGACAAGGGGCAGAGAAACAAACTGCTTATGTAAAAGCATTAAGAAGACCAAACAACTCCAGCCACATTTGCTCACCCTGTGGAAAAACAAGAGGAGGAGGAGGAGGAGGAGGAGGCAGAGGGGAGGACGGGGGGCAAAAAATAGCAAGAGTTCATTAAAAAGTGAAAACATGCAGTGACAAAGGAATTAGCTGGAAGAGTGAATCAGCCTCCCGCGTCTTTCATAATTAATCATGTGAGGCCTTTTTAAAAAGTAAAAGCCTTGACCTGCATGTTTGATGAAGCTCACGCGCTCGGTTCCACTCGGATACCGATTCACGTTACGAGGCTGGATTTAGAAAAGAAAAGCAGCCGATGACTTTAATAGAACATTTATAACATTAATATGAGATGTGCCCCAAAATTTTTAGGCTAAACTACATTTTTAAAAATAGATTCTTACTTTTATTGCGCCGTAAATATTAAGCAGGTTTGGGTTGGTTTGATCCAGGGCTGCTTCTGCTTGAGCAAAACTCAGAAATGTTCCAGATGAGCAGGCATCTTGTGTTTGTGGGGAGGATAAATCTGTTTATGTTGTAGCTTTGGAAAAACAAAACAGACAAAGAGCTTAAAATGCAGTTTTCTCGTGTGTACAACATCAAATGTTGGTGAAGAAGCGGCTTCAGGTCGCTGCTGTGCAGCCATTTGTGAAAATCCAAGAAGATGCTGTGAATGTGAAGACGCATTAGGGCGGCAGCTAGCAATTATTTTAATCATCTGTAGGGAATAATTAATCGATTATTTACCATTGATAATTTGACAGATTAAAGTTACTTGATAAGGCAGAAGACGAAGGACGTGCATGTCAGAAATGAGTTCTGTGTTGGCAGTAGAGCACATTGTGGGGTTTTAGGGAACAACGGGCGCCATGACAAAGACTTCTGTGGTGGTTAATGGGACCCACAAGAGCTCACATCCTGACAAAATCTGTGTTCTTACAGCCTTGAGGTATTTGCAGCTGCATCAATAACATCCAATGTGTGTTTTGTCCAAAAATAACTACATCTGCATATGGAACAGTGTTTGTAGTACCGTAATTTTCGGACTATTGAGCGCACCTGAATATAAGCCGCAGCCACTAACTTTAAAAAGAAAACAAAGGGCGCCACTATAGCTCACCTGGTTGAGCTGGCGTCCCATGTGCAGGGCTACAGTCCTGATGTGGAGGTCATGGGTTCGAATCCCGCTCATGACCCTTTCCCACACGTCCTTCCCCCATTCTTCTCCCCCACTTTCCTGTCTCTTTCTCACTATTACTATCAAATAAAGGCACAAAGGCCAAAAAAATAACTTAAAAAAGAAAACAAAATGTGTACATATGTAGGTCTATAAGTTGCAGGTGTCCACTTGGAACATGAGATATTTACACAGAAAGATTTTTTAAACTTGTAATAAAATACCTACCGGTAACACACACAAATACTGTAAATGCTTTCTTTCTGAACAGCGCCTGTAACACAGCTGGTTAAGAAAATAGTAGCCTACTAGGAAAAGTCATTGATCACTATCTTCATCTTCCTCCTGCACTAAAACCACTAAAGTTGTCTTCTTCGGTGTCGGAGTTGAGCAGCCTCAGATTTACTTCGTCACTTCCTCAGAGTGTCGTTGTCGCTCTCGATGTCACTTTTGTTTCGAGGCAAATTCGTAAAAATCCATAAATCAGTCATCGTTCAAGCCGCATTGCTCAACGTGTGTGAAAAAGGTAGCAGCTTATAGTCCAGAATTTACGGTAGTCTCATTTTGTGTTCATCGATTATTGATTGACAACACTGCTGTTAAGAAAACTCTTTAAACATTTGCATCCCTGGTCGTCGACTGACATGCTGATTGTTTTGTGACTGATCATTTGGTCTTACATCTCAACTTCTTAGAGCTCAGGATGATATTTTTAATAACTCTAATTGTTACAGACTGACAGAGATCTTACTGTAGTTGTTTGGTGGTTGTGCTAAATTGTGGCTCAGTTACAACACAAGAGTCAACTTGTGGTATTTTCTTTATTTCTAAAAGAACAAAAACTTGTTCAAGCTCAAATTTCCCAAATATCTTTATAGATATCAGTATTTTAAAGGTTTCAGGCTCATCAGAGACGGTCGAGCAGAAAGCGTCCTAAAAATGTGATGATTTGAGATGAACTGTGTTTGAAGCCAGCAGTTAGCTTAGCATAGCACAAAGACACGACCAGCCCAGCTGTGTCCAAATGAAACAAAACCTCCCCTCTACCTCAGCTTCACTAATTAATACAGCTTGTTTATTCATTCGTTACAAAAATAGAAATGTAAAAACAGCCACATCGTGTTTTTTTGCTGTTGCCTCCAGTCTTTTCCGTCGCCGCCACGTTGCCAGGCAACTGGCCAAGACCGTAGGAGATGACTGGCCAAGAAATAGCACGTAATCTGCCTTTTTTTAAAAAATAGAAAGCGTCTCGTTCTCGTGTTCACTCGTGAAGCACCAGGTGTGAACAGGTGTGGATGTTGTAACCCTCCACTTACACACACACTGTTGTCCGGATGCAGGAAGCGTTGGATGAGCGTTCTCGATGAGATTACTGTAAGGTGTTGGATTATGATAAAACCTCCTGTGAATATCGTGCTGCAGTGTGAGTTTTGCATAGATTAATAGTTTGCTGCAGTGGAGCTTTTAATCGGGTCTGACCTTACGAGAACTCCCTTCCTTTCTCTTTTTCCCCCCTTTTTTTTTTGTTGTGTTGTTACCCACAGTTTCTTTTTGTTTTTTTTAAATAGCGGCTTGTTATTTTCCTGTCTTCCCCCCGCCGTGCTCCTGGCATTTTCAGGCCCTCCCCTCGGAGCGCCGAGGGATTTCTCCCGCTCGGTGGAAATCTGCAGCGGCTCTCATGGCACGACCGTCCAGAGCCGTAATCCAGACGTCCAAGCCGCTTGAACATAAATCCCGTCCGGAGTTTGCATTGGCTGGCAACTCATCAAGAGGCCGCCAAAGATTATTTATTTATTTCGAACCTCTCGGGACACGGCAGCCTGCTGTCATCCGGTGACTCGCCGACGACAAGATGCAGACGTTTAATCTGCACCGCGTGGCGAAGGAATGCACGGGGATGGACGATTATTAATACCAAAAACGATGAGCGGTGGCTGAAATCAGTCTCGGAGTTAAGATCTGGGAGGTCAGAGGCTACATGCAAATCTCTGTGGCGTAAATGCACCTCGATCTGCAAGTCAAGGCATCATCACGTTGAAATCATGATTCTTGGCTTGCAGGCTTGTCTTGTGAAATTGACTTGTGGCAGCTTGTTGTATTGAAGCAATGTGGGAAGTGAATCACATCACATCTGCAAATATGAGCATGCAGAAGGAGTATGAAGCATATATTGGGTTTCTTCTTTTCAAAAATAAGAATAAACAGAGCAACTGTTTCCTCTTTTCTTCCCACTGATGCAACCTCCAAATAAAACCGTTTGGATGCTTGGATCAGCTGACTTTGGATGAAGCACATTTTTCTCACTGAGGACAGAAAGAATCAACTATGCAAAGCCTGATAGATCTCACTCCTCTGCGCCTCAGAGCTTCTTTGTTGCTCAGAAAGATTAAAAAAGCAAACGAGAAACGTGTTTTGCAATCAAATCTGTCCTCGTGCACACTCAAATCTTGAACTGCCGAGCGACCACGGCTTAAAGTTGCTTTAGTTTTGTCATTAGTAATCTTCCATTAGGGGTGTGCGAGGACGTCAGGGTGAAGTTGGATGGGTCCGTCCGGGTGTAAATGGTGAGAAAACTAAGCCTGGATGGGGGATTATAGGAGAAGGGGGCGGGGAGCATACATGATCTGTCAGAGCTTAGTACCACAATTATCCCAGCGGCTGCAGCAGCAGCAGCAGCAGCAGCAGCAGTGACAGAAGCAGCAGCGGTGGTGGTGGTGGTGGCAGAGGCTGTGTTTTCATTAGTGTAATGTCCAGAGAAGCTCCAGAATTATGTAAGAGTGACGTGCTGTCATCCCCTCTCGGCCAGCCCACCGCCTGGCAGGAACGTGGCCGTTTGTTTTCCTTTTATCCTCCCTCTCTCGCAAAAGCCAAAAGGACATCTGTCAGAGTCGGGACTCGTAGTAGCCTCGCCGTCGGGAGCCTCGCTGCTCTGGAAGCTCGGTCCGGTCGTCGCGAAGAAGCCGAAGGCACAAGTTTGTAGCGATGCAGAAGGAGACGAGCGCACGTTCGGAGAATCTGCTTCTGGTGCTGCACTTTGAGACGAGGTCCGTGTGATGCTGGAGAGGAGGAGAGCTGGAAGATGAAGTTTAAGAAGTTCATTACAATCATGCAGGCAGCGATGGGGATCGTACCCCTGAACAAACGGGAGCTTCTGCCCCCCGGCAGGAAGCTGTGGAGACCCCCGGGGTGAGTTGGATCACCGTGTGACTGAGACGTTTAGATCTCTTGCGTGCTCGTCGTGCCGTGGATGTTGTGACAGTTTCTATTTCTGTTTATTCCTAACAAATCTGTTCCTAAATATAAATATGCAAAGTGTTTTAGAGATGCAGCTACCTTTCAGTGTCCCTTTTTAGCAACTTATCAAGAATGCAGGAACTTTAAACCCACCTGTAACATGTCAGATCAAATCTAATTCAGCAACTAATCTTTTTCTAAATAAGTAATAGATCTATGTTTGAGAAATGCGACTGCCTTTTAGTGTCTAATCCAGCAATGGGTCGAGTTTTCAAGAATGCAGAAACTTTAAAACCCACCTGTAACATGTCGGATCCAATCTGATTCTAAATCTGTGTTTCAGAAATGCTGCTACCTTTTAGTGTCTGTGTCAGTGGAGCAGTGGATGGGTTCGGAAGAATGTAGAAACTTTAAAATGTTCCTGTAACATGTCAGCTCACTGAAACAACAGCTAACATGCTTCTGTCATGAGGTAGCTGAACGTGCAGCCAGTTTCGGTTTCATTTTTTCCAGTTTATTGGCTGTCAGTCTCTCCAGTGCAGCGGAGGAATTTAGTTCCATCAGGACTGGAAGTGACAACAGCATCAACGTGCTTCGACAAACGTGGTTCCATTTACTCTGGATAATCCACAGAGGAGTGGAGGCGGAAAGCTCTCAGACAATGATTATAAAAACACAATTAAAAACCAGACGCATTTATGTTTGACAGCTATCAGCGGGTGGGATGAACCTGCGAACAATCAGAGCAATGAAACGTGTTGTTTTTCAAGCCATCCGGTTCTTCTAACACTGACACCGGATTCAAAAAAAGTGTTCCACGTCAGCTGCAGACATCCGAGTTGTTTGTGAAACTTTTGCATTTGGCTCGACCTGGGAAGGAGATATGGGAATCTGGTAATCAGACGAAGCATGAGCTCTCAGTTTTGTAAAACTATCTGCAAGGAGAACGTGAACAATGTGTTTCAGTGCCTTCATCTGGGTGTGGTCCTCCTCAATCGGATCATTGTTGTGCTGCCCGACTGCTTTAACTTTGACTCATATTTTTTCAAAAAGCGACCACAAAGCAAGAAAAAACAAAAATCTAATCAAACTTTTCATGCTGCTAGCAGTCAGTGAACGTTCTACATATGGATTATATTGTGTGGTTGGTAAATTGCTCTTTCAAAGCTGGAGTACTTACGGTTTTAAGTAGATTTCACCATTTTTAAAGTTTATTCAGTTTTATCTTTTGTCCTGGTTTTTCTAAACCTTCAAGCTTTGGGCTGTTTCCAGGAAAATGTCGTTATATTTACTTTTAATCTATTGTCTTGGTCATTGTGAGCGTTCGCTGTACATCGTGTTTCTTGAGCAAAGTCAAAGATGTTCTCGTTTTCCATCATTTGATTTGATAAAACTTGCAGATATTTTTTCAATATTAACCTGTATATCAAGGAAGATCATATTTTTATTAATAAACTATCATGTTTTTTCATGTATCTCACTATAAAACTCCAGAAGTTGCAATATTCTTCCTCATCTCTAGCGAAGATTGTTGGGAATCTGACGATATCAGAACCATGATGGTGGGAACCTGGATGACTTGGAAATTTCAAAAAATCAGCATTTACTACTTAATAGAAATAAAAGTCTATATTTCATTCACTGAAGTCTTCACATAGAGTTACAAACCAGTCAGCTGTTTCTTAGTGGTCTCTTTACACTGAGCCCCGGACCGCTAATTTAAAGCCTTGTATTGAAACTCGTTATCTTGCGTTTTATTTTTCATACAAAGTCGTCAGTCCTGTGCTTTGAAATTTACAGTAAATCTGATCAAATTTACTGTAAATTCAAAGTAATATTTCCTGTTTGATGTTTCGTCACGCTGACGAGTAACTGAGATTGATAGAAACTGCAAGTCATGCGGCTTTATTTGATTTACGCTGCACCCTTCTGCAATAAATACTTTGAGAGCAGTTCAGCCCAGAAGAAGAAACTTCATAGTTTGTGTTTTTGAACTAAACATTTTCAAAGAGAGAACTGGAGCCAAATGTAAATCATCTCACTTGTTTCTGTCTGTGTACATAATATATAAAAGCTTAATACTGCTCATATTACATACAGGGTTGTTGTTTATACTGTATATAACACAGCTACATCCACTCCACTACATGTACTAGTTATTTGTTCTGCCGATCACAGCTGCTTCCACTTGTTCTGTGCGTTGAATTGGTTAAATTTTAATCATTTCGATTACTTTCCTCTTTGTACTCTTTACATTCATTCATCTTTTTATACATCAGTGTGTACTTGTGCTTTCCTGAGTGCAATTACAATCAATTAGAGGATCATCTGACCTAAAAAAACTGGTTCGAGGAAGGTTTTTTTTTTCACATAAATGTCAAAAAGATTTTGAAAAGTAAACGCCTAGAATTACTAATCAACCCAGAGTCGAACCAGAAACCTCACCGCTGTCCCTTTAGTGACCTGCATCAGCTGCAAGTTTAGTCAAATATAACAGACAAACCTTAAATAATTGAGTTTACTGATGATGTCTGAGTTTTGTCTTGACATTTTATGAGATCTAATGTTTCATATTTTAGATCTACTATCAAAAAATGACAAGAATGTCTGCACATGGGTTTGTTTTTTCATAACTGGTGTTAATTCCAGTGACAAATGCGTCGTGTTACCTGTGCACACTTCACACCGGGAGTCACGTTTCACCAGCTAAAGTCTTGAATGTGAAGCAGCTGCAGAAGGAAATGTTTGGTTATTTGTGGCTTGGACTCCCAAAACTACAATCCAGTCAAAACACACTGAATGACTATTTTCTTGAATTCTTTTTGGATCACAAATTACTGGGCTACAAACTGAGGGTGCAGTTTTAAACATGAGGGCATTTACTAGGTAGAGAGGATTTACAAACGGCCACTATTGAGTTGCTTTGAGTGGATGAAGCAAATAGGATCCACTGTTATGTTTTTTTGGGGAATTTGGCTCATAGTGAGGATTAAACATCAGGATAATTCTACTCAGTGCTGCTTGTCCAACACTGAAATGCCCTTTTAGTGGGAATATTGCACAGAGGGGCTTCAGCAGGGAGTCGACAGAGACGCACACCAGCGTCATTTGCCCCAGAGACGCTTTAGGTGTTGCGGCAGATTCCAAAAAAAAATCTTCCTGTGAATCGTAAGGCAGCAGGTTTAGTCATGCAGAGGCAATCTGTCTGTGCACCGTGCTGCAGCGCCTGCCTTTCATCCAGTCAACCCGTTTCAATGCATATCTGACTCACTGCCATGAATAAAAAAAAAAAACACAACAGCTTGACATTTTCCTCACATGTTCGGACATGTTGCCAGGTCAGAGATGCTGCTCTTGACGTGAGGCTGCAGATTACAGTTGTGTAATAGTCTTTAGTAGCTGCGTGAATTTGTCTGCTCTCCACAGGTGAATCCAGTCGGTAGATGTTTATCACGCTGCAATTTCTCCTCTGATCAAAAAAAATCAGGAAGAGTTTTATTGCTGAGTAGGTTACTGGACACGAGGAATTATATTTAACTTTGTAAGTGATTGTGCAAATCAGTAGACAGTCAAATTAGCAGCAAATACAAGAGATTATAGGTAATAAAAAAGTAGTAGAGATGTTTCCAGCAGGCAGGAATGTGCATGATTAATCACCGAGGAATGTGCAAGATAACGCGGCGTTTAATGTAAACAGCCTGAAATGTGATGATTAGAAGTATTTCTTGAACAAATGTGGTTTGACTGTTGCAGAACAGAAGAAAGTTTTAATCTCTGTGAAAGTGCACAGCCTCATTTCATGTAGAATTACTTGTGAAATGTGCAAAAAAGACTGAAGTAGAAGCTTTATTGTCATTATATTGAGGTCAGACAACAATAAAATGAAATAAAAGTACAATTTAAGGCAAACTAAACATTAGAATTAAATAAAGTGCAATATAGAAATGGATTATAAAAAGCAGCAGTGGCTCGTGTATGAACAGTTGCATTTGAAAACAGAAAGCAGGTACAGACTTGAAGCCTCAACTCAAGTTCAAAGACTCTCTTAATTCATTCTAATTCCTACCGTATAAAAATAGAAGCTCTCTTCCCGGCGACGTGTTTTTACGCTCCGACAGACTTTCTCTTGAAAACTTGTCGTCTGAAAGCGTCGCTTGACACTTCAAAAAAAACGAGGCGTCTGAGATGTGCCCTTTGAAGGTCTTCACTGTGGGCAGCAACACTCCGTCAGCACAGTCGTCCTGCTCGCTCTACAAACATCTGCACAGTGAATGTGATCTCCTAGGGATTTAGCAAGTCTTCGTTCTCGTCCACAGGGACCAGCCTGGCTCTGACCAGACCAGCACTGACCTGCTCAAGTCCAGCCGCAAGCTCTACTGGTCCAGAGAAGCCCAGTACCTGTATCTGCGCCGCCTGTCTTCACGGAGCTACTCGGCTATTATGATGGTACGTAGCTTCAATGTTGATGCTGTGTTTGCAGTAGGTGGTAGTGGTGGTCAACTGAAGTAGATTTCAATTCAGAAAATCCACTGGAATGAGTTTCAGTGATGATTTTGAGCAAATTATGAAAGTAAAATTTAACAAAATCATGAAAACAGACACACAATGTCGACCTACAATAATGATTTGCTGGAATAATGAGGCAGGCAGCACATACAGTTAAAGCTTACATACACTGTATAAAAAGACATCTAACATTTGTTTCTCACTATCTGACATTAAATCAGACTAAACTTTTCCTGTTTTAGGTCAGTTAGGATTACCAGAATTATTTCTATTTGCCAAATGCCAGAATAATGAGAGAGAGAATTTTGGGGGATTTTTCTTTTTTGTTACTTCCTTTAAAGTCAGAAGTTATGACATCATCATCTGGGCTTTCCAAAATAGTTTAAAGGCATAGTCATCTGGTAAAAAATTCTCTAAACAAGTCTCTCTCTCATTATTCTGGCATTTGGCAAATAGAGATAATGTTGGTGATCCTAACTGACCTGAAACAGGAAAAGTTTAGTCTGATTTAATGTCAGTAAAAGTGAGAAAAAACAAGGTTGTTAGTCTTTTTATACAGTGTATGTAAACTTCTGGTTTCAGCTGTCTATAGTCCTGTTTAAATCAAGCTTTTATTGCCAATTTTAAATTAAAAAACAGCATAAATCAATAAACAAATAAAGCAGTTGACTAAATTAATTCACGGCGTTGCCTTTTATGCAATAACTGACCTGTTCTGGTGGTTTTCTATGTTTTTAGATGTTGAATATGTGGATTCTTGCATGCAGAGGATTTAAAGAGCTCATATCATGCATGTTTGCAGGTTTAGAATTTTACTACTAGAATGTGTTTACACACAATTAGAATATTTTTCTTGTACCTGCAGAGACTCTTCTGTCTGAGACGTTCTGTTTCAGCTCCTTCCTCTTTGTGACGAACTGTGACGTCAGATCTTTAAGAATAATACAGGAGGGAATAGAAAAAGAATTTTATTGCCATTTGCACGTGTACATTACAGTACAGGTACCTTGAATTTCTTTGTGCGTTTACTCGAGTCAGCTTTAGGAAAAAATAAAATGACATAAAGAAAAAGAGAAGCAGCAGTAAATATATATTTTTTTAAAAAGACGACAAATATACATTAGAAAAATAAAACAAGTGCACGCTATAAAAAAGTGTTTAAAGTAGATGCCCTGAGAAAGTATTTGCACCAATTAAATGAATAAGGATGTAGTTTGAGCAGAAGCAGCTCTAGTTAAGAAAGAATGACTGTGAGGAAGCTGCTCATTCTTTGTTTGAGGCTAAACGAGCCGCCAGGCAGCAATTATATGAATATATTATATTATAGATAAGTAACAGAGGAAAATGAATTCAGGAGCAGAGAGAATGACTCCCTATGGCATCAGGTTTGGAGTTTGTAAGTTTGCAGACCTTTAAAAATCAGTTATATAACATGCTGAAGGAATAAAAAGTCTAATATGGACTATTTGATTTAAAGTTTGTCCTTCGTAAGTTCAAAATGCGGCATCACTTTGGATCTATAGTTTAGTTATACATTAAGTTTCAGCGTCTCTCATCAGTAAAACACCAGTGCTTGCAGTCACTTGTTTGCCTTTGTGTATAATTCTTGATGACATCCAGCAGCTGTGTGTGTTTGTAAGCTTCTTTGTTTAGCTGTCGTAATTCATGTGTTGTTGATTCGACTCATCCACTTTCCACTAATAAGATTCTATCTAATTTAACTATCTTATTCAGCTTTATTAACTTCGTCCGACACTTGAGCTGTTTTGAACATGTTGGATGTTCTATTGAGTGAGTTGCTGCTCCTCTTAATAGCAATTTTATTCCTTTTTCATTTTTTTAATTCATTAAAACAGATTTTTATTTAACTACTATATTATTTAATTTGAATATTTCTTCAGTGTTCTGTTGGTAGCCTGTGCTGTTATTGCAGTCCATGTTTTCCAGGACACTTGCTCAATCTTTATGAAGCGTTCTTGGTTGACAAATGAATAATGACTATTTCTAAAAATTTAAACGGTAAAATGTTAAATAAATTGATTTTAGAAATTGCTAAAGCTGTAAAAATAAATAAAATCTTAGAAGTTGAAAAAGCTCTTACATTACATTTCAAATTGAATTCTAACAGTTATTATTTTGTATAATTTTGTTTGTTCAGTGTGTGCACCATGAATTAGGATTAGTGCAGTTTACGTTTCAGTTTTTCTGGAGTTCCTTTGCACGCTTAAAGGCTGGATTCATTGTTCTGAGTCCGGGTTGCACAATGATAAATCTGTTGCTGTCATTTAAAAATTCACAGGTCCACCTGGGTTTGCTGTTTTTAATGCTGTGGCGTCACTCGGCCGATTGTGTGTTTCTCTGTCGATGAATATTTTACGATTTTGGCTCTTATGAAACTCCGTCATAATCCCATCACTTGGATGATCTGAGAATGCACGCATGCAGTTTTTATAAATATATTTTGTTTTGTTTGTCCGAAAATAGCTCGCAAACTAGGCTCTGACACGCTGGAGATTTGAGTCTGAGATGTGAAGTTCAGGGACCCAGCGTTTCCCAGACTTGTTTCCTCTTCCCTTATTTGAATACAATGCGGTGTAGTGACCCCTCCTGCAACCAGGATGATGATTAACCGCAGAGACATGTCACATCCCGGAAGCTTCATTGTTTTAATGACTTGGTCCCACAAATTATTCAGGCCAGTGAAGCTGTTTTGCATTGGGATGGCCTATTTTAAGGCCTGTTTGGCATATTTCAGTTGCAGTGAAATGTGGTTGTTTAACTGGATTGACCTTAATTTTTCCTGAAATTGTACTTAATTCGAGCATAAAGTGCTGCCTTTATTTTTATTTTTTTTCCGAGCAGAAAGCGCTTCTGTCATTTGTAAACATGGTGGATATTAAAAAGAGGAATATTTCATGTGGTATTAGGGATTTTGGGCGGTTTCAGGGTCAGCTGGTGTTCTTATCTGCGATTTGTCTCGTGCTGATAAAATGCCAGATAAGGGCAGGCTTGAATGGACAGTAAATCGCTCACACACACAAACACAGGGATAAAAAAAACACACAAAAAAAACAAAGGGTTATTGTGGGACAGCTGCACATGGTCATCGTGACCTTTGCTTTAGCTGCTCGTGTTCTGGAGACTTGCATGTTTCACATAGCTGCACACGGCCGAGCACATACCTTCTGGGCACTTTTGATCCGAGGCTGCTTTTCATTGCTTGGGTTTTTTGACTTCCAGTGGAGGCATGCAGGAATAAATCAAACTGTAGTCTTCTGCCACCTTTGTAGCAACAGCGAAGAAAGATGTTCCAGCATCACAAGCTGCTGAGGCTTCAATCAGGATCCTTTTAAAGAAATGTTTCCCTCTTTGTTGTGGAGAAACTCAGCTGGTCTACACAGATTCTTAACCTCAACCCTGCTTCAGATGAAGTGGAACACAGACTGGATGTGTTCCTAAATGTGTGTCTGGTTCAGGAGTCCATATAGATTTGGCCTTTTAGTATATTTTCGCACTTAAGATGAATAAGAAACTATATATTTCTCCTTGTCAAAGTATTGGTAGTTGCTTAGGAGCGTCATAGTCTTTAACATGCTGCAGTAAGTACTCAGAAAACCTATATTTTGATCCATGACTATTCAGAGACTTACAGGCAAAAACTCAAGCCTAAATTCATCTCTGTATTAAACAGGAAGCCAGTGTAGAGACTTAAGAATTGGAATTCTTTCTTCTTGATGTTTGTTGTTATTCTTGGAGCTGTGTTTTGAATGAGTTGCAAATAAGGGAAGCCAGTCGGAAATGCATTACAATGGTCCACTCTGCAGGTAGTGAAAGTATAAATCATTTTTTCTAACTGTTGCTTGGACACAGAGTTTGTTTGTAAGATGCCAGAAAGAGGGTTTAGTTAAAGTTTGATGTGGCTGAAATTTGTTTCTACTTACAAGTGCTTTGCATATTTAGTTATATGCTGTACAGCACTTATTTTATCAATAATATAATACTTTTACATGCTGAAATGCTTCTTTGGTCTACATATCTCACATTTGTCAGCATGTTGCATGTACAGTGGGTTGTTGTGCACTAAGTCACACCTTAAATTCAATTCTATATTTAACAGGAAGCCAGTGCAGGGACCTAAGAATGGCAGTAATGTGTTTTCTCTTCTGATCTAGCAGCAGCATTTTAAATGAGTTGAAAAGGTGTAATGGTCCTTGCAACCTGCAGGTAATAACAGCATGAATTAGTTTTTCTAAACTCTTCCTGCTTGCACAAAAAGTTTCTCAGTTTGTTTTTAAGATGTCAGAAAGATTAAGTGGCAGCTTTGATGTGGATGCTGACTTTTGTCTTTACTTAGAAGTGCTTGGAATATTTTCCACACACTTAAGGCTCTAGTTGTAGGCTGTACAACATTTGTTTTATCTATACTAGAAAAAATTTATGTGTTTAAATATTTCTTTGGTCCTAGTATGCTGCATTAAGTCTGTTGTTGTCTGTCTGGGAGCCTCACAGCAGGCTGCCCAAAAATCAATGGGAATTTCGGACGGATCCATTTTTAGCGGTTTTGGAGTTGCAAGCCCCCTGCATATATTTATCTTCAGTGTTATAAACACTTTCTTATACAGGAAGTTTATTAAATAGTTCATCAAATTCAGTAAATATGAATTTATAAAATGTTGTTAAAGTTAGTATTTTATCTACAAAAGCTGCGGTTAGATTTAAATCCCCCCCAGCTTCTTTTTTTTTGGTATAATCTGAACCAAGCTAGGAGTACTGGGCGCTAATTTTTGCCCTCAATGTTTAATCTTAACGCTTTTTGCGGGCAAAGTGCGGGCTGGAGTTAAGCAGTTTTAAAACGCTGAGGTTCTTAATTTCTGACAAACTTTTGGCCGACGTGCCGCTACAGACACCGAACTAGTGATAGTTTGGGTCAAACCCTCAGT